AATATTCAAATCAACTTAAATAAAAATAAATTAGAAACTTATAGCGATTTTATTAAATTTCATTATATGAATCAAAAATTAGCTGACATTGAAACGATAAAAGATAATGTTTTTTCAAAATTTCCCAATATTCTTTTATATTCAAAAGATCTCGATGAAAACAATCCTTGTTACGAAAGTCTTATTATTAATCAAGACATTAATCAATTAAATCATGACAACATTAATCTTTATGACACTATTACTTTAAAAAACTCAAATAATCAAACCACATTTTTAGTAATTTCAAAATTAAATCATTTTGACAAAATAACTTACAATGACTTATTTTACTCTTTGCAAAAACTCCGGTCTATTCTTTTAACAAATAAGATTTTTACAGTATATCTTAAAAATCCTGTAGAAGGAAATAAAAATATCAAACAAGATTTATTTAACGAATTAATAGAATTTTTATTCTCAAAATCAAATATCAAAATTGTACTTGTAAACAAACCAAAATTTTGTCCTAAAACCCGCGAAGAAATAAAAAATATTTTACAAGAGAATCATTCTTCGTCAGTAGCCGGTCATCCCGGATTTTTAAGAACTTATCATAGAATTAAAGAAAATTATAAGTGGCCAAACATGAAAGGTGATATAAAACACTTTATTAAAAGTTGCCAATCTTGTCAAATTAATAAATTAGTTCATAAAAGCCCAAAAGCTCCTATGGAGATAACTACAACGAGCGAACGACCTTTTCAAAGATTAGCTATCGATGTAGTTGGTCCCTTATCATTAACAGAGGTAGGCAATAAATTTATCGTTACCATGCAAGACGATCTAACAAAATACTCATATGCAACATCTGTACCTAATCACGAAGCAAAAACAGTCGCTGACGTACTTTTGCAATTTATTTGTATATTTGGTATACCCGAGACAATCTTAACAGATCAAGGTACAGACTTCACCTCAAATCTAATTAAAGAAGTAAATAAACTTTTTAAAATTAAACACATTTTATCTAGCCCTTATCATCCCCAAACGAACGGTAGTTTAGAAAGAAGCCACTTGACTCTAAAAGAATATTTACGACACTACATAAACGATAAAACAACTAATTGGGACGAATACGTACCCTTAGCTATGTTCACTTACAATACCCACTATCATAAATCTACTAAATTCACACCTTACGAACTACTCTTTGGTCATAAAGCTTTTATACCTAGTACTCTTACCTGTAAACCAGAATTTAAATATACTTACGATGATTATTATTCTAACTTAAAATTAAAATTAAATAGATCATTCCAACTAGCTCGAGAAAATATAATAAATGCCAAAGAAACTTCTAAAATTTATTATGATAGAAATGTTCATTCACACAATTTTAAAGTAGGCGATTTAGCATATATCCTAAATAAAAATATTACACCCGGTATTAGCAGAAAATTACAGCCAAATTATAAAGGTCCCTATAAAATCATAAACATTCATCCTAATCAAACGGTCAAAATACAAATTAGTCACAAGAAAACATCAGTCGTTCATCATAATTTATTAAAACCTTTTGTTCCAGAAGATGAAAACCCTTCTCGTTCTGACACTAATTAACATATTAACACTCCCGCCTATATCCGGTAATATCCCCTATAAAAACCAAAAATTAGATTTTAAATCAGGAATATTTTATCAAGACTTAGGTCAAGTAAAACTAACCCAAGACTATTTTACACTCTTATCATTCAATAATATAAGCATTTATGAAATGAAATTAAAATTTGCCGAAAAATCGTTTTATATCTCAAAACCCTTATGCATGCACCCTAACGATAAAAATGTAACATTCAGACATTCTGAATTTTTATGCAAAGAATCTCTAGAATTAATAGAAATTCGACTTGAAAAATTAAATAAAAAACTAGAAGCCATAAACCACCTAACAGGTCATGAACCTGATAAAATGTCACTTAGAGTAAAAAGAGGATTAATTAACGGTGTATCTTATACATTTAAATGGTTATTTGGAATCCCCGATGCAGATGATGCAGAATATTATAATGACGCAATTCATGCAGTAGTAAATCAAAATCAAGACATGCAAAAACTTTTAAAGCAACAAGTTCATATAATCTCTGAAGCGATCTCTGGTTATAATAGGTCAGCATTGACACTTAAATTTAATGAAGAAAAGTTAAACAAAAATATAAAAATATTTAATAAATTTTCAAACTCAAGCATTATTAGAATAAATTCATTAACCTACGTTCAAACAGTAATGGATCATTTAAATTTATTGTCTCAAATTACCGAAGAATTAGACGAAGAATTCGATGTTATTATTTCTTCAATATTATTTTCCAAACAAAATATTTTACACCCTTCAATAATTACTCCAAAATCTTTACGCGAAGAATTATTGAAAATTAATAATAAAAGAACAGATTTAGATTTTCCAATAGACCTAGATGATAATGCAAACATTTTTAAATACACGCAAATATGTTCACTCTCAGTAGTTTACACAAATAAAGTTTTAATTTATGCAATTAAGATACCACTAGTAACTAAAGATTTGTATCAACTATATAATTTGATTCCCTTACCTGTCCAATATCAAAACTCTTCAATATACTCCTATATAAACCCTTCTTTCCCTTACCTTATCCTAAGTACGACAAGAACGTATTATGGAGAGATGTCAGAATTATCGAAATGCCAGAAGATATCACCATCCGAGTACATTTGTTCCAACATCATCATACATCTAATCAAGGAAAGACCAACCTGCGAAACGATTCTGAAACTTCAAAAACCTGAAAAAATCCCATCAAACTGCGACACCAAAACCATGAAGTCAGAAATCGAAGTTTGGCATCCCCTCTCAACAAATCAATGGCTATACATCTTAACACAACCAGTCACTGGAACCATAAGCTGCGAAAATTATGGTGCTTCACAAATCACAGACGTTGTACTTCAAGGCTCCGGTATTTTTACATTACAACCGAAATGTAAATGCTACACTACATCCACGTTATTGACTTCAACTTCCAACCAAACGTCAAATTATACAAACTTTATACCTTTACTGGACATCAATAAAGACGATTGCTGCATCAAGGAGCAATCCTACCTCAAAAATGAAGAAATGTCTTCAATCAAACTCCATAGCCTCAACCTCAATGAACTGAGTCATGCACAACATAAACTCCAACAGTTCGACGACGTCCTACAGAAAAATATAAACCAACCATTCATTATCAACCATTCCAAATGGTACAACATCTTCTTTGGAATAATTGGAACATTAGTAATGCTAATAATATGCTACTATGTTTGTTGCCGATGTTGTCGTTGCAGATTTCTAAACTCAATAAAGAAATATTTCAACCCCGACCAATGCCGTCACCTGGTTTGTATCAACAGCCACAATACTGTATCTGATAACCGAGTCAACCTGGATGATTTTCCACCTCACAGAAGAAGCTATCGTAGTCTCAACTCCGAAGCAGATGCAATGCCCATGGAGGATTTAGAACCTGTCTACACGGAGATGCGTAGGCCTCGTCTTTCGAAGAAATCTTTTAAAATTTAATTTCCCATTTTATTTTATTTTATTTTAATTTTATATATAGTACACTAATTTCATAATTATAGTTTTGTTTAGGTATTATAATAATAACAATTTTATTTTAATTTTTATTTTATATATTGTACACTTTAAATTTTAATTGTATCTTTGTAGTTTACTTAGTGTTTTATAAGTTTTAGAGTGTATAATTTAATTTTACCATTTAGTGTTTCAATAGGATTTTTAACCCTTATCGAAACACTTAACGGGGGAGGTTTGTTAGACCCTGTATATTTATTTGGTAAGAGTTTGTTTTTCTAATGTATATTAAATAATCTTTTAGTCGTGATCTTTAGGGTTACAAAAAATAAGTCCATAAATTAAATTAATAAAAAGTTCAAATAGTTCAAGTAATTATTACGCATCATTAGATATTTCATAATTTCAAAGACAGCGCTTCTATTTTTCCATTAACTGATAAAAATTATCGCGCTGTATAAAAGCTCATTTTAAGAAACCAAAAGAACACTTACTATTTACTTTTCACTCACTTAACTTAAGATTTAACTTCTCGAATATTTATTATTCATTTAATTATTATGTAAAACTTATTTACAATAAACGATCTTACGAGTCAAAGTGTTAGTTCTTCGTATCCCAACAAAAGTTTAAAACCCTAAATCATTCCAGTTCCCTGGAAAAAACCTGTTAACAGTTTTTTCCATTTTTTTTACTTATATTTGAACTTGTTGGTAATTTAATTTTTTAAATCAAGGGGCCCACTTAGGCACTCTAAGTTTAACAATTATTTAATGTAATAATAACCTTTTTATAATTCCTGTAGAAGCCTATTGCAGCCGGGGGCTCCCAAGACCAAAATATTAAATATCTTTTCTAGTTTTTTCTTATATTAGTTTATATTTTATGGTAGCTTTAAGGTCCTGGGGGCCCCTTGTGGCCGAAGGCCCCGAAAACCGAAATTATTTATATCTACATACAATTTTTTTTATTAGACCAACAGACTAATCAAGATTTAGGGGCCCCTTTAGACTGGTGGCCCGGGGCCCTGCCCCCCTTAGTCCGCCACTGCATTTACGTTACCAATATACAATTTTTGTACAAAAACATGATCATGGGAAACGGTGTTCGAGTATTTAAAACTTGTTCTACTCGATACTCAGCAAACAAAAAATATATATATTTAGCCATTTTTAAGGCAAAAATGAATCGATCCCTGGGTATAATAATTTCAAAAAAAAATTTATTTTATTAGTTATAGCAACAATATTCTACAACAAAATTAAAAAAATAGTTGCTTATTCAAAATTTCTTGTAAATAATTAATGTAGGTAACATTTTAAAGTCAAGGTACTTCAAATTAGAACACGAACTACTTAATAATTAAATATGTTCTACAACAGAATTTCGAATATCTTACCCAAAAACTTCGTTAATTCATCCATCATTATTATTTAAAATTTTCCACAATCACAGCACAGTTTATTTTAACAATATTGACATACTTTAACAAACAAGCATCGGAATTATCGCCTAAATATTGTGTTACCGCCAACAAAATTATTAACAGGTGACTGTACCTCGTTTACTGCACTAGAAAATTAAAATTTGCATGGTCAAAAATATTTTTATTATTAAAATTTCGCAACCGTTTTCTACAACATTAAACGTCAATCAAGTGTAGCCAATGGCAGATAAGAAAATTCACGGTATAATTTATCTTATATAAATATCAGTTCCTTCCGCTATTTAATTTAATTAAAAATTGCATCACCAGCACTTTAGCACGTGGTTTTTAATATACACAAGTTCACTATCACAGCCCATATAACAAATGAATATTATGCGACTAGTGTGCAGTGTTCTATTAATAATAAAGTTAAAAATACACTTATTGATGACTGGAACATTTTTTTTATTTGTATAGGTACTACGAAATTCTGCGAATGAATGCAGGAATGCGTTGAAAGCGAAATCGTTTTAGGCGTATTTTTGGCATGCTCTCAATAATTTTTCTAGTGCTAGGTTTGTAGATATAATATGTAATTAACCTAATACCTATAATACATATCTATATTGGTCTATATACAAGGTGTCTATTTAAAATCGAGCAATGCTCTATAAGTCTGGACCTAAAAAAAGATATAAAAAATTTCTCAAAACCATTTATAGAATATGTGGGGGAAATCAGTCACTAAGCAGCCCCTGGAGCTGTAGCCACCCCAGCTCAATTTTTTTAAATGGCTTTGTGATACCTTATTAGAAAGCTTTTAAAAATTGCTATTCAACAGTACTAAAAAATACTTTTTATTAGTTTAATTTTTAAAAAATACTCAAATTAATTTTCATAGTTTTTTATTCCCATTTCTCGTTATAAACTAAACCATTAAATATCAAATTAAATCAAATTAAACCACTTCGTTGTCGTAAAAACATTAGTAAGGGAGAACACAAAATAATTTTAACAAAAGTATACTTAAATAGAAAAGCATAAATAAACAAATTTTTCAACAATATTACAGTAATAGAGTATATAGTTATTTTTGTTGTTGTGCACAAACAGAAGGCAGGTAAGTATAAATAAATATGGATGGCAAGGTAAATATTTTTAAGTGTTAAAAGTATGTTAGGCCCATTAGTTTGTTGCCATCTTTCTCTAAAATATTTGAGCTAATAATGACTAACAGATTATTGGATTTTTTTAATATGTTTAATTCGTGCCAACATGGATACTTAAGGGGTAGATCTATAGAAACAGCAGTGTTTGACTTTATACAATAAATATTATTAAGTTTTGACCAAAAACAGCACTGTATGGGTGTGTTTCTAGATTTGTCAAAGGCCTATGATTGTTTAAACCTTAAAATTCTGTTAGAAAAACTTGATGATTACGGAGTGAGGGGAAATGCACTGCTGTGGATACAGTCTTACCTCACAAATAGAACTCAAAAAGTTGTAGTAGAAAGGAATGGTCATCAAACTACTTCTGACCCTCTATAATACAAAGATTGGAATACCACAAGGCAGTGTCATAGGACCAATTATTTTTATAATATATTTGAATGATTTAACTTCAACAAACAAAAACAAAACAAAATCCTTCTCAAAAATTGATAAATTTTGCCTATGATACAAATCTTTTGATTAAATCATTGAATTATAATACATTACTTACGGATACCAAGACTTTTGTATCAAATATTGAAACATGGTTCAATGACAACATGCTCATACTTAATAAAGACAAAACAAATTGCATACATTTTAAGACCAAACATTCAAATGTTCAAAATTTTAATGAAATTACATTTAACAATACTTTAATTAAAATCAATAAAAATACAACATTTTTAGGCCTTCAAATAGATGAAAACATAGATTGGAAGTATCATGTTGAAGAGCTATGTAGCAAATTAAATAAAACTCTGTTTTCTATAAGGGTTACACGAAAATATGTAAATTTTCAAACATTGAAAACTGTATATCAAATTTTCAGTCTTTATTAAGGTATGGTATAATTTTTTGGGGTCAGAGTACTATTGTACAAGAGGTATTTTTATGTCAGAAAGGAGTTTTACGTGAAATGTTAGGATTAGGATTTATGTCTTCATGTAAAGGGCATTTTAAAAGAAATAAAATACTTACTGTAAGTGGTGTATATGTTTATGAATTATTGTTGTTTATGTTTAAAAACAAACAATTATTTGAACAATATAGGTCGAAAAATTTGAAAAATGTACACTACTACTATCCTTATCATAGACTTTCCAGTTTTGAAAAAGGTAGTTTATATATATGCCTGTATAAAATGTTTAAACACATTACCAAATAATATTAAAAACATAAATACTTTTAAATTATTTAAAAAGAAAGTCTATGATTGGATTTGTGATTTAGAGCCCTACTCATTAAATGATATGTTTGTTTTGTAATGTTCTCATTTCTTTTTTTTTTATATGTTTCACTTTTGTATATATACTGTTTAATTAATTTTGTATGTGCAAATTTTGAAATAAAGATTATATTATTATTATTATTATAGTTATGTTTCTGAGTCGTGCTTTTGAAATTTACACAAATACTTGTCAGTGTAGTTTTATGAAAAAATTACATTGAAATTGCATAAATCCGTAAATATGTTGTAAATTTAAGGCAATAACCTATTGTACTTAATGTAAAATCAATTAAAACTTATAGGATACATTTTATGTAATTTAAGAAGCTGCTATAGCAGCTTTTTAAATTATATATAAAATTTAAAATAATAAATAAAATTTTACTTTATAACTTATCAAGAAATATAGTTAATCCAGACACCACAAACACAAAACATGCAATAGGCAAATAATTTGAACAAAAACATAAAAAATCGTGTAATTACCTAAATATTTAATTAATTTCTTCATTTTCTAGATTAATGTTACCACACACAATGCCACAGACAACAGACGACCGCCACAACATAAATTAACAAAACAGATCTGCCTATAGTAAATTGGACGAATTTGGCATTCAATTGATTTTAATTAAATTTAACACGATTTGTTTGTAAAATTAATTGGCTATCTGCTATCAAAATAATTTGCCAGCAGAAGGCCGGGATTAGTTCTTTAGCATGTTATGTATGGGTTTTTTCAATTGTAGTTAACTGTTTGACTTTAGTTTTAATTGTTGCGTGCTAAAGTTTCTTAAACTTTTGATACATAGGTTGGGGGATTTCAGGAAGCATTTTTAAATAAAGGTAGTACCTAAACAATATTTTAAAAATGCAGGAAAATATGCGAAATAGTTAAAAAACTAAAATATATCAAAGAGGTACCTACATTTTAAAACTGAAAAAATTATATATTAGATTATTTTTTCAAAAACAAATAGAAAATTTTAAATACAGTCATGGGTACCTATGTTTTAAACATATTAAACAATATTACATCTGAAAAAAACAAAATTCTATAATAAACGTTAACACATAATCTTTAGAAAACATAGCACTCAAGAGTTCAATAAATTAGAATAGTATATTCTGTAACAAGTTTGAAATACGGCATATTCGAGTGAAAAGTTTGTCACACGAGCCGAAGGCGAGTTTGACGGTTTCACGAGAATGGAATATGCAATTCCAAACGTGTTTCAGACTATACCATAGGCAAATAATTTAATTGGAAGAAAGTGAGGTTGGATCGGTCTAAAATTTGTTAGATATTAAAAACAGAGATGTCGCCACGAGTGTTTATTCTGTCATCAGATGATAGAATATTTCATTCTGTAACACTTTACGGAATATATGTCATTCCATAGATAAAAGTGATATTAGAACGGTCATATTCCATAATAGGAGTATAAAAAATAATTTCCAAAACTTGTTGTCAACAGGCAATAGCCCCCTAGTGTTCGAAATATCTGTCGATTCTTTTCAATTTATTTTTACTCTTTGGCTACATTAATGTTAAGAATACTCGGATCCAGACATATCCCTAAAATTAAAATTCTCTATTCCCTAATAAGCTTATTTTATTTTTCCTATTGGAAATATGTATCAAGTTTGATAAACTCCAATTTAGTCACGAATTTTAATTACGCACAAGCGAGTGTTTAATTAAATTAGTGCCTAGAAAAGTTTATAGACAAGTATGCAACTACGACAAATACTAATACTATTATTATCTAAAAATTATTTAAATTAAGTATTTGTATATCTATAGAGCATAGACACTATAAGAAAATAGATTAACTCCCATAAGTATTTCTAACTTGGGAATCTGTATTACCGGCGCGCAAGTCAAAATGTCAAATTTTTTGTGTAAATCGAAATTTATCTCTTGAAAATGGACCAACAACCGTTTAAGTGATGATATAGAAGCAGTTTTTACAGATAAAGTGAAGAAAATGTTTTATAGGCACTTTACAGTGGAGTCTCCAACAGAAATTTTTAATGCTTTCAGTTAAATCTAGTTTACTGCCGGCAAAATCAAAAGGTACTTACTTATAAACTTTTCAACAGTTATTGGCGTTAAGAAACTATTTAATACATTTTTATTTTTGGATCAAGATAATATAATAATTTCCTTATTATTATTTCACAAGAAGGGCACTGTATTTTAATGATTGTATGACATTTGACTATCAACTAACTTAAAACTAGCTTTAGCCCTTGACTAAAGTCGTTTTTTCGCGTAAATACCATGAAATACTATGGTTATTAAACTTAACCGTGGTTAATAGTTAAGGCATTTTTGCGTTTAGAGTGCGTTCAAAAATCCTAACTATGACGTCACAAATACCAGACCATAAAACTATATCGCTGAGCTAGTTATTCAACGTGGTTAATAGTCTTTCTCTTTTTAATATATATTTTTCTGTTTCGATCTGTCAAGAAGTTGTTTACATTTGAAATTTAAAATATTTTAAGTAGGTACAATGGCTCTTAAACCGAATTTAAACTTTGTATTAAAATGGTAAACGGGGTGTTGTCAGTAAAAATAAATGATAGGGTGCTCCATATTGTGAATCTCCACAAGTGGAGGAATTATATGCAGGTTTTTTTTTATATTCTTCCTTATTTTCTATTAAACATGTAGGAGAATTGGATAACGTGTATTAAAAAAACTAGTACCTATAGAAAAAGAATATACTAGGTATAAAAAGAGGCAAAGAAATTTATTTACACCGGTAAAAGCATAGAAATTAAATATAAATAGGTAAAAACACATTTCAAAAATTATAGGTTATGAACAAGAAATTTATTTACACCGGTAAAAGCATAGAAATTAAATATAAATAGGTAAAAACACATTTCAAAAATTATAGGTTATGAACAAGTAAACAAATGTCAAATGTTAGAAACC